CTTTGAATAACTTCGTTTCTTGAGTATGACAGTAAAAATATTCCGTGTGTATTTTCGCAATATTTTTGGGTATGACAAAATATAATCTACGAATTTTTCATAGTATTTCAAGTTACGGCTTGCATAAAGCAACGCCCGAAGAAGTACCAGTGCAGGAATTCTAATATAATTTTGAAATTGTAGACTCATTATTTTTGAAAAAACAAATTGCAATAGTAAAATAATTGTGCATTGACTCATACAATAACTATTAAATCCTGGAGAACTATAACTTTCAATTAGCTAATGGAAATCTAGCAAGAATTAAATGGAAAAAAATTTTAAATTTGAGAAAACCAGTGACCGCAATGTGTTTTCGGACATATGCATACACATAAAAAACAACATACACTTTACTTTCTACGTCAATTACTAAAAAAATACACAAAAGCGCAACAACAACTACAAAAAGTGTTAGTAATGATAAGAGTGGTTTAGTGGGGAAGAATCCGTATTAAAATAATAAATGAAAGAAATATTTAACCAAATCTGAAAATACAACCTAAATAAATAGGCTAAAGTATTTGAGGCTAAGCGTACACTTTATTATTTTTGTATTTTTTATTGACCTGGAGAAACGTATAATAAATATTAGAAAATTAATTGCTGGATTATTATTTATATATTGCTTATAAACACACGATTTTCAGCAAGTAAAATTAGCATAATTATGACTACATTATATGGGCAGGTGATAAAAAAGTAAATAATAATAATGTGAGCAAATCAAGCAGCTGATAAAAGTCATATTTGCACATGTATATGATAACCTATACTTGCATATATACCTGACGCCATATGTATGCCTATAACGTAAATACATACACATACATATACAGATATAATTCATACATATAAACATATAATACATATATACATATATATACAAACATATAATATACACATACATAACCAATGTTTGTTTGTGCGTCGATTTATGAATAGCCATAAAAATATTATTTTGTTTTTGTTGCTTCAATTATGTTTGAATGTACGTTGTAAATTGTTGTTGTGTGCCAAATGTCATGTTAAATACAAATGAAACGCCTAAATGAACAACGGATAAATTGTTGGAATTAAAACAAAGCATATAACTAAGGTTGCGTATACGCCGCGGTACACTCGTTACTTATAGAGATAGAGCAAAAGCAGAAAGAGAGAGCAAATTGAAGAGTGAGCGCACAACGAGAAGGAATCGGAGCACGAAAATGTGTGCAAAAAAGATTGTTAATAAAATGTGTGCTAGCAGCGAAGTAGTGTGTAAGGCAATGGCGCAATAAAGCAGCATGGAAATCCTTTAGAGCACGCAAAAATGACCTCAACACAGCACACTTGTTGATTGCCATTTATTTGCGCACGCATTAGCAATGTGGTTTTAGTGCGCGCTCTCACTCTCACAATCTCTTTTCAATTGTCACCAACGTGCTCTCATGATGAGTCCTCGTTTTTCGCTTCTACTCTTTTGGCTTTTCCTTTCTATTCATCAACTGTGCTTCTGCGCCATTTTATCAGCCGTTTTTTATTAACGGATTTTTTGTTTGTAAACAAATAACAGCTGTTAGTTGTGATCAGCTGTCCTATACTGTGCTACACTGCTAACTTGATTTTCTCAACAATGCCTGCACCAGCATTTATTCTGCACAGCAGATTGGACATATCGTCAGTGCGACGCCAGCAGCATAACGGCATGTCCCAGTGGGCCCTTAAGCACATAAATACATACATATACATATATTTTCATTATCAGCTTTTTTCCGCTTCTTCCACTGCATTTGCATAGATTTGTTTGCATGTATGTGCAAATGTAGATGTGTGCAGCTTATATTTGTCTGTGTCAAACGTATGCTCACTTAGATACATAGCATATATGTATATAATCCCACCGCGGGGCTGCTATTTTCGTTTGCCACGTTGCCGACTTGCCGATTTGCGGACTTGCTGGCTTTGTGTGCCTATTTGACGTGTTTGCTTGCCCGCGGCTGTTGCGGCAGACGTGTCTGCATGTGCTCTTTTGTGTGCGGGTGTTGGCCCAGTCATACACACACACACATACGCACAATACATGCATGCTCAAATTGTCTTCAATTATGTATGTATGTGCCCATGGGGCATATAGTGGCACTAGCTTTACGGTACATGTAAATTGTTTGCACTTTACGCTCCCCTTGTGCCCCCGTTAAAATTTATTGTTGCCACTTATAATAATATTTGGCTTTTCATTATCTTCGCTCGGTTGAAAGTTGTCAGCACATTGTTCGGCACTGCAGAATTTGTGAACGTTCCTATTTGACGGCAATGCATATTTAATTTGGTAGTCACACTTATTGTGAGCACTGTTAGAAAAATTTAATTGCAAGTGGTGGTATTTGGAATACTATAGATTAATCTTTATTACGTTATAGAAAGAGTAACCAAATATTACTTTATTTGTTCTTTATGTTAATTTGTCGAAATCGCTAATATCGGACATAAATTTCATACGAGCAGTATGTTCTTAAACTCTTCCTTCGACTGGCCTTTATCCGACAACTGTAGAAAAACAAGTATGCTAGTATTGTTGTAACGGTAAATGGGTTTTATTTAAATATTAATAATTTATTTCCTTTTAGAAATATATGCAACTTTTATATCATTTTAAATTTCATTTTGGTCATATGAAATCCATTTGCTGCCAAGTGCCAAATACAATTTCAGTGCACGTAGTCAGTGAGCCTAGGAAGCGTTGCATATACTCGTATAAGGTCTAGTAAAAGGAAATCCATAATTTTTGCATTGAATTGAAGGTTTTATTTAGCATAGTTAAAATTATCAGATATAGGTGAAATATATGGGGCATTTTTAAAGTAATAGCATAATGTCAATCTCATAGAACCTCCTGTTGCAATTGCCAAAACATTTAAACAAGCTTTTCTGGAGAGAGGTAGTAATCACTTGATAACAGGTCCAAACTATAAGATGGCTGCATAGAAATATCCAATCCAAACTCCCGAAGCTTCGAGCCAGTTTCTACCGATGTAGTTGGTCTGTCGTTGTCCTGTTGGAACACAATTCCTCTCCTATTAAATACAGTTGGGCACTTATCAGCGTTTGCTTACTTCAAACGTTGCACTTGCTGTCAGCAGTCATAGTCCTTGCCAATCCCACTAAACACATAGCAAAATCGACCTGATCATCAATCCTGGCTGGGCTACCGTTTGCGCCGGCTCAACGCGATTCTATCATGGCCGCTTTCGCTTAACGTTGTCGTAATTGACCCACGTATCATCACTAGTAGCCATCCACTTCAGAAGTGAATCAATTTTGTAGCAATTGAGAGTCAAAGATGATGCATGAGGTTTTTTACATATACTCGTGTAGCACACATATATCGAGCTTCTTTTTATATGCTGCATTATTTAAATGACACCAAACGAGTTTTTGTGCCATGTTTAGCTCCTGGGCTATCGAAGCATTGCTTACATAACGGTCGGACTCGACAATTTACACATTTGTATCGATATATTCAACAATTGGCCTTCTAGAGTGTGGTGTGTTTTAAAAACCAAATTTTCGAAACAGAATCGACGAAACCCAAATTGCGCATGATTGACTCAACAGTAGCATGGCCATATACACTTTTCACATTTTCAGGAGCCTGGCTTATATTTTCGCTTTTATTTATCGAAGAAAAACTATAAAATATGATGTACTTTCACTTTGATATTGCTCTCTTTGACGCGTGTTCAAACAATAGTCAAGCAATCACAAAACTGTCTACGAGTTTTTTTTAGTACAAAATCTTATCTTTCTAACGCCATATTGCGTCAAACCATCGTCCTTACACGACGCGAGATACAAGTTAAATTACAGGTTACAAGAAAAGTAATGAATTTCATTTAACAGACCTAACGTATTTTACATGAATATTTGGTAAGAAAAAATCAGGGTTCGCCACTTCAAAAGACCCTTTGTTATGGCTCAGCAAAAAAGTAATTACCTGTTGAGTGTTCTCTGGATAATTAGACCGATATTCACTTAAAATAATTTTCCAACTCTTTCTGACTAACAAGTTCGAAGAACGAGCTCGACGAGAAGAAAAAATTTTGTTTGAAACTAGGACACACATATATTATTATTAAATGTATATAAATTAAGAAGAGCTTTGAGACAATAATACCATATTCGCTAAGTAACTGACTCTGATTTAAAAATTTGGAGAACAAGCTCGACGAGAATTGATTTGGAAAAAAGTAGTATAGATTGGGAAATCTAAATCATATATTATTATCATAACAAAGGAGGAGTTCCCAGTTTGTTGCTACAATAATATTACTTTCTTATGGAAACAAAGTATTTTTCAAAAGCTTATTGAGAATTATAAAACTTAGAGTCACATATAGCAAAAAGTTGTTTTTGTCAACCAGCCAACCAAAAGAAAACGTTCAGACCGAATTCACAAGCAATGCTGCTGCTTCAGTTAAAGACTGATTAAATAAAACCTGACGTGGACCCAGGTATTAAAAGAACCTGTCGCCTACAAAAAAACATACAGTCATTCCCATATTTCCAGGATAGTCGAGTCTACGTAACCAAAAGGATTTCGCATTGAGTTTTATAATTCACACTAGCCAAACTGTACAAGCAGTTAATAGATAATGCCCAAGTTTAAACTACATTTGTTAGATTTCATATTACTTAAAAACTGTCCTGAGTTTTTATCAACCATCGGCTGGACATTTATTAAGAAAATATTGGTGTATCTGGGTCAATAAGTACAGAGTTGTTGTACAGCTATGAGCATAATTATAGGCAACGATTTATAAAAAAAAAATGCATTCTATTCCCAGAGCTAAACGAATTCCTTGCCTACATTTAGGGTGTCCAGATGAGCAGGACAAAACTTCACAGAAAAACCTTTTATCTTATATTGACCATAGTAAAGTGCATATTGAGTCAAATATTGTTTTTACTACTCCTTCTAGCGTTGGCAAATGGGCAATGCAGTTTGGCGATGAATTGTGGGAATTAGCGCAACGTATGACCAAATCTCAAGAGATTAAAGCCGTAAGTACACGTTGGCAAGCAACAAGCGTGCATTTTATACTAGCGTACTACTAACAATATACATTTCCCTTTACAGAAATACAAAGAATACAATGCACGCGTCGAATTGAAAAATGGCACCGAACTCATTAAATCCATCACAGCGAATGTTGGACGGATGTTTTCGCGCAAAATGGATGCGGTACGTTGCATACAACAAAAAGCCGAGGCAGTCAATGAAGAATTCGTGTTTAATTACACATATGCCGTGGATAATTACCAATATTATTCAAGTAAATTTTCAATATTCGATGACAAGCGCGCTGAGGACCTGCTGGATAGTATGATGGAATACGAGGATAGGTATCTAAATTTTACGCTAAACCCGGATACGCACTTTTATAATATATCTGTTGATACAGAACATAGTTCCGTCCATGTACCATCTAATATATTTGATGGCGGTAAGTTGAAATAAAATTTATATATTCTTTTACAGAAATTTTTTAATTTATTTTCGCTTATTAATAATTTAGGTAGAGAAGTGTTAAAGACTATTATGTGGTCTGAAACGCTGGATGATGTTTTCAAACAAAACTACAAATCAGATCCCGCGCTGTCGTGGCAATATTTCGGCTCTGACACTGGCATACTACGCCACTACCCCGGCCTACAATGGCAACGGCGCGGTAATCCGGATAATGCCGACACCTATGATTGCCGCAAACGTTCGTGGTATATAGAGACTGCCACCTGCTCCAAGGATATTGTTATACTATTGGACAATTCGGGTTCGATGACCGGTTTCCGCAATCATGTTGCCAAATTTACAATACGCAGTATTTTGGATTCTTTCTCGAATAATGATTTTTTTACGGTTTTTAATTACTCCGCGGAGGTCCACGATATAATACCATGCTTTAAGGACGCCCTTGTGCAGGCAACACCTGAGAATATCAATGTGTTTAATGATGCCATTGAGGAGATAAAACCTGAGGGCTATGCGAATCTCTCTTTGGCATATGAGAAAGCATTTCAGCTATTGAAAAAATACTATGTCGAACGCCGTTGCAATGAGACGTCCACCTGCAATCAAGCTATAATGGTTGTCACCGATGGCGTTGCTGGCAATACCACCGAAATTTTCGAAAAATATAATTGGGGCAATGGCGAGAACGGCACAATGAATATGAATATACGCATATTTACCTATCTGCTGGGGAAAGAAGTGACCAAAGTGCGTGAGATACAATGGATGGCCTGCTTGAATCGTGGCTACTATTCGCATGTACAGACATTGGACGAGGTGCATGAGGAGGTTTTGAAGTATGTAGATGTGATAGCCACACCGTTGGTGCTGCAAAATGAGGAACACCCGCCAACATGGACGCATTCGTTTACGGATCGAACGGTATGTAAACTGTAAAACATATTAAAATTCTAGCCACACATATTCACTCTTCTTTTCATTATAGTATGAACCGCGCCCTAATGATACTGGCACACGGCTTATGATAGCTGTGGGCGTTCCAGCCTTTGATCGTTCCTACCGCAATGAGAACTCTACGAAGCGAGCACGTCTGCTCGGTGTAGCTGGCACAGATGTGCCGGTGGAGGATATCGATAAACTAACGCTGCCTTATAAGGTAAGTGAAGTATTTCATTGAAACTTTAGAGAAATGGACTTTTTAAATATCGTCAACAGCAGCCCACAATATCTACTAAATTTTATTATGTCCGTCCGATTAAATCTTGTTAAATATTCTAAATTTCAATCTGCCATTCAATAGTGACTAGACTTTTAGTTTGAATAGAGTATAATACACATCCTATAATTTCTATAATTGATCTCCGTAGTGCGAGAAGAATTTCCAAACAAATGCAATTCATACGTATTTTTTTAGGTCCCACCCCTAATATTGTTTTCTTGATCCAGTTTGGGATATACATTCTTGTACATTATTTTCGGACTCAGTTTAGACCCCGTCAATATTGAAATGCTAAACTATATATAGATTACGTGGTTCTTTCTAAATCATTTTACTGTGTTTAGTTTGAAAATGATGGCTTAGGTTAGGTTAGGTTAGATAAATAGGTTTACGATCGTGAGGCCACGAATTTGGATAGCTACAGACGCCTGTCCGTAGTGATGCCGTCGCATATCGACAAAGCGCCTAGAGCCTGCCATAAATTTCTTGAAGTAGCTAATATTAATTCCAACCAATTCGCCAGATCCGTAGAAAGTATGGCAAACGAGAAGCTTCAACCTTGCTCTGGCGAAAGCTGGACAGAGTGTCTAGATAACCTTATCTTCCTCCCAGCAAACTTGACAAGTTGCGTCCTCTAAAATATTCAGCCTTACCGCGCGATTGCTAATGAGAAAATGTCCAGAGCTAATGAGAGAAATGTGAAGCTCACTAAGACCTAGTAGTTTAATGGACCGTTTACCTTTCACTCTGAGCCAGAAATGAGCGAACAGAATTTTAGGAAGAGAAGATCTCGTGTTGAAAAATGGCGGACTAAAACTAGTCAAACATTAAGACTTTTCACATTTATTTATTTACAGCTTGGTGTAAACGGCTACTCATATGTGGTTTCCAATAACGGTTACATGCTGCTGCATCCAGATTTACGTCCGATTTCGGTAAGTTAACACTGCCTATCACCTCAAATTTATTTAATAAAATACTCCTTTCTTTCGCTAGAAATCTGGTATGCTTAATCCCAATTACAACAGTATAGATTTCACAGAAGTGGAGCACCTTTATGAGGATTTGGAACCACGCCAACCGGGTGAGTCCATACTACAGCTGCGTAGCGCCATGGTTCAATATCAATCAGGTGAATTCAAGGATATAAGCGTAAAGTTTCACTATGACAATATGCGTCGAGTATCCGAGGAGAAACAAGATTATTTTTTTGCGCCGCTACCGAACACACCCTTTTCGTTAGGCATTGTTTTGCCAAGTGAATATGGTAAGACCTGGATTAAGGTGGGCGAAGAGGTGATGAAGAACAAGCATATGAAAGTGAATATATCGGACTATTTTGTCGGTGACAACTGGAAAGTGCATCCCGCTTGGTATGTTTGGTGGCAACAATATAAACTATAAACAATTGTAAAGTTGATAACACTACTTTTTAGGGTTTATTGCAAATACCACTACCTGGAAGGGCATGAATTCAAAACGCCTGAAGCTGAGTTGCGTCATTTTCTTGCAAAGATGTTTCAAAACGACTGGAAATGGTCCGAACAGTATGAAGAAGACGATTCAGACCGTGATGATACGGACGAAAGTAAGTGATCTAGATTGGAATTGTAGTCTTGAGATCAATGTTTGTAACTTGTGATCCGTTGCGTGCTGTAGTAAATTGCGGCCGCATAACGCTCGACGAAGATGCCTACTATTGCAACAAGGAGCTTGTGCAACTACTCATCTTCGATGCCAAAGTTACAAACTCCAGTTACGGTGAGTGGAAATTCGCAAACGCTGACGAACGTAGCCTAATAGAAGGCTTTGGCGGTACGTTGCGTTTTGCGGCCACCATGAGCGGCTTGACACGTTGGCAATTCATTTACGGTGAGGTTGAAGTGGACAATGATCGTGAATTTGGCGACTATCATACGACAGCGATCGACGAGACTTGGTATAAGAGCGCTATATTGCAACATCATCAAGAGCGCACCGAAAGCTTCGTTTACATGGTTAAACATGCCAGTGATCCAATGGAGGATAACGAATTGATGGTTACCGCTTCGCATGCGATATTTCCACGCGATGGCGGTAGAGAGGCACCTGCATGTGTTGTCGGCTTTCAATTTTCACATGCACGTATGATGGACCGATTCTTCAATATCACTTCGATAGATAATGTAAGTAACAGATCGTAAAACTTGTTTCTTTTCTGCATATTAATTTTCAAATTATTCAACGCATTTTCTTTTGAAAATGTTTTCCAGTGCAATGGTTGCATAAAGACCTGTACGAGCGACGAGATAGATTGCTACGTCATAGACAATAATGCATACATTGTGATAGCACAAAATGTCAATCATACTGGAAAATTCTTTGGCGACCATCAAGGTGACGTTATGGCGGCAATGGTGGAGAAGAGCTTCTTCCAAGCTATCAATGTTTACGACTATCAAGCGCTGTGTCGTGAGGAAGTCGACGATTCCAGCGACGCGCAAGCTCTACTGCACGTAAGTACCAACGGAAAGAAATAAAGAGACTCTATTCTAATTTTAAATTTTCCCAACTACAGCCAATCAGATTGTTGAGCATAGGCTGGCGTTGGTTGATCGCGCAGCTCTTCTGGCAATATGCGCGCATCAAATGGTGGGCGGACGGCGCGCCATGTAAGTAACTAGCAAGCAACAACAGCAATATCACTTACATTATATATTTTATATGTGTATATAATTATTATTTACACATTACCAGTCTTGGAATATTCGGACGAGATCGACGACGACTACGAAGCTGCGCCGGATGCTTTTCCACGTCAACCGCAAAAAGACAAAGACATGAGCGACGATGGCAAATTATTATTTGAGAAGAAGAAACCCGATCCGGTTTATAATCCTTGCGATACACGTTCAACACTTTATGTCTTACAACCGAATTCGCTCGAAGATGTAAGCGACTATATAAAAGTGCCATATTCACGACCGTTTTATTTAAAGAAAATACCGAATACCAATCTTTTGTTGGTGGTGGTAAATGTTTTGATGCCATCGAAAGGTATGCGTTTGAGCACGGAACCTGAACGTTTAGAATATGATATAGAATTTCCATGTCATAAATTAAATATGAGCTTCTACGAGCGACGGCGTCTGGAAGAATGTTTCACCCAGCACCCAGAGGTGAGTTAATTTACTAATGTGTGAACTTAGAGGAAGTTTCATTGCAAGTGGCGGATTTGAAGAGTTCGCAATTAGTTTTAAATCACTCACGTTTTATAAACTTTATTTAGCCTATCGCTTTAGATGTATGACACGTCGTAAATGCACCCGTTTTTTTTTTTTGTCCAAGTTAAGTTAGTAATTAAGAAATTATCCTGAGTATTCTTTGTTCATACTTTTCCTTAAGCTTATTTAGTGATTGCTTGCTGTCGTAATAATAACAACAACAACCAGCCGCATTCTTTTTATAGACTAATACCATACCATAATTTGATCTTTGGTCTCCATTAGTCTACGTTAAACTCAATCCCGTTAGAACCAAAATGTAATAAAATGCAGCTCTTTTATGATCCTAAAATTTATGAGTAATCTGGATTGACAATTACAAACAATAGATTTAAGAATATTATAGCACATGTCTGTCATACAAACTGACCGACCGAAATCAAGTTCTTGTATGAAAAACTTTTTTATTTGACAAAATATGTTCATGAAATATGGCATAGATTATTGTCTTAAGCAACGATAAAAACTCCGAATGAATTGTTTAGATCGAACTTCAATAGCATATAACTGACATTGATAGATAGAATGAAATTTGAATGCACTGCGACCTGTGTTTGATTATGCCCTCTGCTGTTAGCACAACATTTCGTTTAATCCAGTCAAATCAAAGAGACTTAGACCCAAGGGCTTTGGGTTAATGGTAGCAACATGTTTTCTCACCGGATCTATTTTCCCGATAGCCGGGTGAGTGGGCCCACAGCTCCTTTCTCTAGGAGATCAGCTAGCGCAATTCCATTGATACCTCTATGCCCAAAGATACATGCTAATAAGATGTTATTTACCGTGGCAACCCTGGTAAGCAATCTTATGCACTCCAGTACCATTTCAACGGACGTGATTGCCTGAAGTATCGCTAGACTATCATTGAGAATGATAATTCTTTTCCCGCTTTTCTCTAAAATAATCTCGATACATCGGCTAAGGGCATAGACCTCAGCTTGAAAAATGCTTGGAAACCTACACATAAGCACTGACAGTTTGGCACGTGGACCCACTATACCAGCTCCTATTCCATGTGCCGTTTCCGAGCCATCTGTATACCATTGCATTGTGCTTCTGCGAAGGTACTCTTCGAGGATGAAGTTCTGCCATTCACTTTTACTGCACGGTGAGACTTTGAATAGCTGTTATACAAACTGCCCGATCAAAATCAAGAGAAAGATCTTATATCCTTTTATGTTATAAGCAATGCATCTGTGTAGGGTATTATAGCTTCGGTGCAGCCGTAGTTAATGTTTTTTTTTTGTTTGTTTTATTCATTATTTATATATATTTTTCTTTCAATATCTTTCCAGGAGGAAAAATATACATATTGCGGCGATGCGACAGCGCTGCAATTGGACATTGTAAATTTATTGATAACGGTATTTATATTTTTATTAACGCGCTATTTACGCACTTAAATGTTTGTAAACATTTATTTATTTTTTTACACTATCGAACGAAAGTATGTAACTAAATACAAATTTTTTATGAAAAAAAAACCAACAACAATGTCAACAGTAAAAATATAAGATAAAATTTGCATTGTCACAGATAATTTAGCACAATCCTCTTTACTGCATTGACTATAAATGCTCCTAGCGTTCTCTCTTATGTGAAATACCATGTAGACTTAAACGGAAACGCCAAAGAAAACAAAGACATTACTAAAGAAAATAATGGTTAGAAAATTACAAACAAAATGACTAGCAAAACTAGCGGAACTGTTTAATTTTTTTTTTACTGTATACACTTGTCTTGTACTTATGTATTGTATGTATGTATGACTGTAGGACTAAATACTTGAAACCGAAGTTAACTTTTCATCTTCTGCTTTCCGACGATAATCAAGTTTTTAACTGACGAAAAAACAACAACAAAAGAAAATTTAAAAAATTTAAAGAACAACAAAAACAATTTTAGGATATCTTTTGGAACAACAAAACACACAATTGTGCAGAGAAACTCACACTTTCACATACTCACACACACACACGCACACGTGAAATGTATACATGTAACATAATGCAAATCACATATGGAATTGTTGCATGTTACGTGCATTGCAACAGCAACAACAAGAACAAAACACACATTTTGTTTGAGACAATGAGAAAAACGTATTTGCCAAAACCAAAAATTATTATAAATTATAGCAAAAAAATAAAAAAAAACTATAAACTAATGAAATTATATAAACAAATCTACTTGGTTAAATTTTGATAGAATTTTATAACCGTTATGTACGTACCCCCTAGTCGAATTCGTTGATTAATGAGGCTTAGCCTTCAAGTTAACAGCTAAAATCAAAACAAAAACAAAAATGTTAAATTAATTAGTTAAATGGTGGTAAATGAATGGAGGCGACTAAGGATAGTTTAGAGAGCTATAATATTTATTACTTTGTTACTGTTTATTTATAGCGTAAATACTTGCCTACATATGTATTTGTATACATATATGTATGTATGCATATGCGACTATATTTGTATAACTTTATATTATGTTAATGTACACTACCTTATGTACTACTTATATATGGTATTTGTATGTATATTTGAAATGTAAACAAAAGCAAATGTTTTTTAATTTATATGTATGTATATATGTATGAGTATGTAAAACGAAACATGTGTCTAGTACCACCAAACAACCAAACCGAGACCTGCCTATTTTGCATCCATTATAATTTTAAACATAAAAGAGCATTGAGACGCACATTAGCTCGCATTTGTTAGCAGGAAAAACGGTGAGAATTGCAAATTTGTGGTTATGTGATGACTAGGAATTTGTATATATTTGCTAAGAAAGCCATAAGTAAATATTTGGCGGAAAATACTTGGAATTTGTTAAGCCTTCTGCGCACCCACCCACAGATATTACTCAGCGACAGGGTTACGAATTTTTTAAATAAAAAAATTTGAATTAAAAATTGGATTTTCAAGTTTTTAGTTTTTATTACATATTGTTTGCGATTAAAAATTGAAAATTTAATCGCAAATTAAAAATTGAAAATTTTAATATCACAGTATCGTAATTTAAAATTGATAAACTATAAATCGTTTGAATGTATAAATTTGCCGACCACTGTTCTATGGTATTGAAGATTGTTTTAGAGTATGAATGCGAGCTCTAGTTCAAAATGTTAGAACACAAAGCACGCAAAATCGAATAGATGGGAATTTAAAAACATTTTTTTTTTTTTCTAACTTACTTAGATTAAAAATTTTTTTTTCAATCCGGTATTTGAGAATAAATTTTTTATATTTCAATCCGGTAATTGAAATTAGAAATAAAAAAATTATTTTTAATTCAGCTTTTCACGGCTAAAAATTAAAAAACAAATTTAATTTAAATGTTAGTTCAATTATTTGTCCAGTGCAATATTTGCAACCCTGCTCAGCAAACAAATTTCAAGTCTACGAATTTAACAAACTGCAATTCTGTCGCTATTTGTGGACTTCCAGCGAATGATCTCAACAGCAATTGACTAAAAAATAAAACTAAAATTTAAAGAATTTCACTAGGAGGGGTCTAGGGTTTCAATAAAAGATCAACAGCCAACACTCAATTCAACTTTTCAGCTTCGACAATCGAGCAATTATGCGACATCTCTATGACCAGATTAAGTTTGAGTATTTGAAGATAGTTTGTGGATCTCCAAAATTCTTGTTCACACTTTTAGTTTATGGTAGCAGTTTCTATGTATATACTTGTAAAATAGAAAAGAGTTGAGTTTTCCTAGAATACAACAAAACTTTTCTTTAGAGGAAAGAAAGAGGACTTTCTTATTTGCACAGCAATATGACGGCAAGAAATTATACAACGACGAACAATACTTCCGTAACTGCTCTACTTCCGAAAAAGCAGAAGAACCCTTTCAGCAATAGCTTCCACGAAAGAACGAACTGATTTGTTAGTCTTAGCCCTTCTTCCAAAATGCTCTACTTCAGGAGGAGTATGAGGGATATTCTAAGAATGAACGATCTGACTCATGAGTCTTGTCGCTAATAAGGACGAAGATAGGCGAAGATCTGGCCCAAGTTTGTAAGAGCTTATTCTTCTATGATATCACAATTGTTGTCGTCACAATTCTGGCGCTTTATTTCGATTCGCTTACATGGCTAAAAGCGATCCAAGATTTCAACATTGACAAAAGAGATACGGCCCTAACATTGGACTCCTAACAGATCCAAAATTTATCTCTTGCTTTGAAAGTCGCTGTTAGATTTCACGAATAACAATATACGTCTAAAACTCAAGGAAACTAATTTTTTACACTAATTTCTGGAAGACTTCAGCAAATTTGAAAGACGTATTAACAAATTTCAGCATCAGGTACGACAAAGACAAAGACCTTCGTGAATACGATACCATTTCTGAATAAAAGAGCTTTTCGAATACTTAGACGTCCATAGCCGATATCTAGTGATTTGAAAAGTTAATTCCATCAGCAAGAAGACGCCATAGTCGAGCTTGCTATATAACTAGCAAACACAAATAGTCTCACATTGCCAATTGCAATTCTCGACCAAGTGAAGCACAAATTATTTGAAAAGCTAACAACATTATAGCTATTCTTCCGTTTACATTATTTACATATTTAAAGTAAATATCTCAAAATATATAAAAATATATAAACAAAAACAAGGTTTACATTATTGACATTAAGTTGTCAAAAATACGAAAAAGTTTATTTTAATGAATTTTAAAAAGAATTTTTTGTAAATTTTATGAAACTAACAAACACTAGTTTCATAAACAGCCACACAAAAATATACTTATGTAAGATAATTCAAATGCAAACACAAAAGAACAACCTTAACGCAAAGCGTTGAAGGTTTTAATTCTCGCAGCAACATTGTCGTCCTACAAAACTAAATTAAATTAAAAAAATGTAAAAAAATTAACAAAAACAAAAAATATATATATATAACATTAAATGAAATGAGAGAAAATTATGATGAATTAATTCAACAGATTGCCTTTAAATTTAAAAGTAAATTTTTAAAATCGTAAATTATATTTATATGAATTTCTTACGATCATTAAGCGTAGTAAAATGAGAAAGAAATATTTATTTAAAAATGAAAACTAAGTAAATATATAGTTATGTATATGAGAGAGAGATAATTAATAAATAAATTTTTTGAATATTAAAATGAAGATCAAAAAATTATTTGACCAACACTGTTAACTAATTAGTAAAATGCAAGTGGGAATAGTTGGTATAAAAAATATTATGTAAAAAAAATCAATTTTAATTTTAACCAAACTCATCAATGTACACTAAATATGTAAAATTATATTGAGTTTTATTTAAAATTTATTTTTAATAATTTCTAAGCATAATAAAAGAACACAGAAAACTCCTGTCAACTGCGACAGCATAAACCGATTAAACCGTTTTTAAAAATATAAATAAAGAACAAGAAAAAAGTAAAGAAACAAAAAATATTTTTCAGTTTTGAAAAAGTTATTGCAACTTTTTGAGTGGGAAATTTATATTTTTTTAACTCTAAAAGAGAAGCCTCCCTTTTAGTCGACTGTAATAGGTGGCATTCTATGATACTTAATAAGTTTCCGTTTCTAACCAATACCACGGATTTTCGAAATCCTCTAGAATTGAACTTAAATTCAGTCCCCAATATTGCCTTCCCATCCAGAGAAGAGTGGACAGGAACGCAGGGACGCATATTTTACAGTTTTTCATCGATAAAGGCGAAACACAAGCCAGGCAACTGAAAATGTGACTAGTTTCATGGTTTTGATAGAGTAGTATTCCGACGTTTCGGTTCCGGTAATTTTGTTGTCAAAGAAGACCTTGAAGACTTGGAAAATATCGGTTAAAATCAAATCGAGTGCAAAAAGCATTGTATCGATTGCCTACGAGCTCAACACTGGTTGGAACCATTTAGTAAGGCTAGAGACAAAAAAGAAGATCGGTGTATTGATGCTACACGGATTAAATTACATGGACCGAATTTCCATCTGCGAATCGCTACAAAAACAACCGCATTTCTGAAGAAGTAGTAACTGGTAATAAAAAAAGTCAACCGAAACGGTCATGGTAGAATTGTGGTGTACAGACGCAAATAGTGGTAAAGCCAGGACAGACAGTCAAGAAGGCTTGGATATGTGTTTGACGGGAAGGTCATCATCTACTAGCAGCTGCTCCGCTATGGCCAAAGTTTGTGTACAGACTTGTACGGTCTGAAAAAGCGACCAGTTTTGGCCAAGAGGTGAGGATTTGTGTTCCATCAGGATTACCGAGATCACACACATTTGTGGTTCTGATGCATCAATCTTATAGTCCATACCTGGCAACAAGTGGTTACTACTTATATCTATCAATCGCGAATGATTTTGCTGTAAAATATTTAGCCTTAAGAAAAGCCTTGCAAAGAGGGACGAGGGTTTCCATGAGGGTAACATTATGAAATTACCTTTGAAATGGCAATACGTTTTTGAAGCAAACGATGTATGTTTGTTCTAAATCGAAGTATTCTTACTTCAATTTATAAACCCTGCACTTTAAATAGAACTCTCGCTACAATTTACAACCTATCAACTATGCCGATAGGTTCTCCTACGATCTCACCCACTTTTTGAGAATATCTGTTCGAGATCCGTGAGCATTTTGCAAGTAGCGACTTTTATATGACCTCACCCTATTGTTGGAAGTTAGATGGTTAGATTATGATACTGTCTTAACCACTAGCAAAGTGTCAAGATAAACAACAAGAGCTTAACGCGATATTATTGCATATTTATTATCGAACAAACAAACTTAATAAAAATTATAATTCTAGGTTATGTTAAATTTAACTATTTATAGAAACTTGTTTAGTAAATAGGAAGTGCACACAAATGGTAAATATTCATAATTATCTAAAAGTGGGGAGCTTTTAGAAAACGCAGTCGTTGAATAATTCACTAAATCTCAATTATTTTTCTCGTTTAAAGATCCAAAAGCACCGGCTTTGTTTCCTTGGCACATTTCAGCATCGAACGCATCATTTTGATGAAACCGGTGTCCTTTGACTTCTCCAAACCACGCTGCAAACGATTCTTCATTACAGCCACGAACTCGCGATTACTCAACTGATTATCGTCTGCAAATTACGCGCGAAGGATATTGAAAAACTTTGATAAATATTAAAAAAAAAATTGACAATTGTACTCACTGTCTTCGTCGAAAATCGTGAAGATAACATCGATCACATGATCTCTTAGATCAACCATGGCGACAGTTTTAGCCACATGTTTGAGTGTTGCCTGATCAATCGATGCGCCCGCAATGTGATAGAACGTCAGAGCGGTGTCCACATCGTTAATATTACTTAAAAAATGAAAGAAATCGAGATAATCGTTTTTGGAGATACCCAAATTGTTATCCTTGAATTTACGCTTGACACGCTTCAACTTGCGTGACTTCTTCTTATGCGAATAACCAGCATAGGCCACCAATAACTCGGCGAAATCCACCTCAGTAATCAGACCCTCACTATTCGGATTTTTACGCTCGAATTCCAGCGTTAGGATTTCACGTTGCAATTGCGCTTGGAATTGTATGAACTTTTGTATGGTCAATTTCTGGTCCAAATTCGGACCGAAGAAGTAGTGAGTGAGCGCAGAGTTCACACCCTGTGAAAGGTGAAGTTTCAAAAACTCTACATTCAAGTATAGTATTATTTATGAGACCAACTGATCAACTTAAGCGGCTTAGCCAATTTTATGAGTGAAAATGGGTACCGTTATTAACAAAAGGTGAAAATGTGAGTTGATGGGTGAGTAATGATTAGTGGAAACGAAAAGTAGTGATTAAAGGTGGTGAATTACAAATTAGGCAAACAAAAGAGTACCGTTATTAACGCAAAGCGATAATGTTAGTACGTGAGTAAGAATACTGCTGATTTTTGCACAAAGCGACAAATAAACATAAATGAAAATGAAAAGTGGTGATGAAAGGTGGTGAATTTCAAATAAGGTAATCGAAATAGTTTTATAAGTGCAATGTTAGTCGAAGTATGAATTATTTTAGCTCAAAATTATGCAACTATGTGATGGCTGACTTTCACAGTAAGCGATAATAAATACTAACAAAAAGTAGGGTTATGGTGAAAAAGGTGAATTTCGAATAAATTATGCAAAATAGTTATACAGTTACCAAGTTATCATTAACTCAAAACGAAAATGAGAGTTGGTGAGTGAGAATGTAGTTGATTTTTGCAGAAAGTGACAAATAAACATTAGTGGAACTGAAAAGTGGTGAATTTCAAATTAGGTAAACAAAATAATACAATGTTAGTCGGAGTGTATAATTTTTTAGGCGAAAATTATGCAACTATTTGATGGCTGATTTTCAGAGTAAGCGAATAATAATTATTACTTAAAAGTAAGGTTATGGTGAAAAAGGTGAATTTCGAATTAGTTAAGCAAAATAGTTATAAAGTTACCCAGAGTAGTTTATACCTTCATGGGCTTTGTTTTAGTAGGTAAAATATTAATTATTGATTTTGTGATTAGGCAATTGTTAGTCATGGTAGTTGTGGTTACAGTGGTGGTGGTGGTGGTGTGACAGTTTTGCATTAGTCGTTATTTACAAAAGATATGCAAAAGAGCAAAGATATAGAAAATACATTTTACATTTAGTAGATTATTTAAGCAGTTAAGGAGTTAAATGAAAATTATATACAATGCATTTTCACAATTAGAGAAAATACAAATATACAATAATAAAATATAATAAGGAAAAAGAATAAGGAATTTATGGACGAAAACTAATCTACACGTACATATGTATTTTACAAGCAAAATAGATTAAAAAAAAAAAATATTAAATACGCGCATACCTTAAACGTATTGCCGGTAGCTGCATGATCACGATGCCTAATGCCGATGGTGGATTGTTGGCGCACCAAATCGGCAACCATTTCAAACTCCTCACTATCCACATCGCCATCACCGTTCAAATCGAACATTTGGAAAGCGATCTCGAAATGACGACGAGAAGCTAAAATTAAAAAAAGTATAATAAAGATAAAAATAAAATATAATAAAGATAAAACAAAATTATATTAAAAATAAAAAAATTATGTATAATAAAATAATTTTTTTTTTTTAATTTCTAATAAATTAAATTTTTTATCAATATAAATAAAAACAAAAACTCACTTGAAAGCACTGTTAGTAAGAATATGTAGTCCGAAAAGGTAATTAAACCATAGGAGCCCAACTTGTAGAAAATACTGTCCTTTGCCAAATGCAATTTCAAACACTCAGCAACATCCTAAGCAAAATAAAAATTAATTAGCTTACTCATTGTAAATGAAACATAAGCAGAGTTCAAAACACGAAAATCAAACATCTTAAATGGTTAACGGTACTGCATTTTTTAATTTTATTTTTTTTTTTTTTGTTTTTTGTTAAACATTCTACAAAAAGGGTTAAATAATAAAGGGCATAGTTTGGCATACAAAGAGTTTCGAAAAAGTTAGTGTTGAAAGCAATTAAATTAGTGCAGGAACATTTATGTCTATAAATCTATAACATTTCTTGTTAAACACAAGATTTTTGGGTCAGTAAAGTTATTCCAAGCCAAGCTAAATAGACGTGCTTGCCTTGCACGCACATTAATAGTGTGCTACATGCAAAATAAATTAATTTTTTAGTTCGTATTATAACGGTGTACATAGAATCTTTATAAACATGTACTAGTGGGGGATACACATAGCATTCGTTTATTCATACAATTACAGCCGATTGGTTATGATTACTGTTATTTCTTTATTAATGACTTTTAGTCAAATAATACCTCGCCTGCAACCTGTAAGTAGAGAGCATGTTGTATAGGTGGTGAGGAGAAAAAAGGTTTTTGTGATATTAGAAACAGGGAGGAAACTTGGGCTAGAGTTTTGAAAAATGATGCTGTAAGTGTCTTAGAAATAGTTTACGTGGTAATTCAGAGTTATTTACCCATTATACTTATATTATTATTTAATTGTTATTTAATTTTTTTTGTTCACATTATTTTATTTATTGGCGATATTATATTAATTAAGCTTTAGTTTAGTTTTTGTACTATTTTTTGATATGAAAAATATTTTTATTATAATCTTTTGACTTGATTTTTGTATTTTTGTGTAGGTATATTTATATTTGAGTTTTACTGTAGTCCATTTCTTTTTAATACGCAGAACAGGGTACATTAAAGTTTGTCACGATGTTTGTAACACCCCGTAGGAATCGTCACAGACCCGCTAAAGTATATACATACGCATAAATGATCACCGAGATGAGCTGTATAGATTTAGCCATGTCCCTCTGTCACTTTGTCCGTCTGTATATATGTAGATATATGAACTGCTCTTCAGCTTTTGAGTTATCGTTCGGAAA